ATCTGGCCCTGGCCCTAGAAGCGTGTACCTGGCCACAAAACGGACAACAGTACACCCGTTAGAAAAACAGCAGCAAATAAATAAAATAAAGACTATAAAAATAATCTAAACTGGCGTTTTTCTGATGCAGGCCCAAGTAAAAATGCCATAGGACCTTCAGGTTGCGGTGACGCGACCTGGGGGCCCTATTCCAACCTCGGGTCCCGTGAGGGGCCCGTGTGTAGGCTTTCAGCATGTAACAAAGTAGACAAGAGTCTAGACGAAGGAGGAGCAGAATAAAGTAAGAGTGGGAGGATCAGTTCCTAACTTTCCCAAAATAATAATGTATAGCCTCGCCTTCCCCTCTTCCACCTCCAGTCTTTTTCTTCCTCTTCTTCCTTTTTCTATACTGATGATGGAGCGGATATGACTCTCAAAAGCACTTGCCAATTGGCAAAGTCAGTCTCCAATGCAATACCAATGTGGCGCAATGAAGAACAACGCCGGTGAACGCGATGCCAGATTTGAGAAGCAAAGCACTGTCTATCCAAGCACTTTGCACCACCAGCTAGGTGCTGGTAAACCGTCTCTCTCTCTCTCTCTCTCTCTCTCTCTCTCTCAGAGCATAGCAAACAAGCATCAATTATTTATGCGAAGATACACTGGGACAATTCTTGAAGGAAAAAGGTCCATCTGGTACTCTCTCTCTCTCTCTCTCTCTATCTATCTATCTATCTATCTATCTATCTGTCTGTCTGTCTCTCTCTCTCTCTCTCTTTCTTTCAGAGCTTAGCAAACAAGCATCAATTATTTATGCGAAGATACACTGGGACAATTCTTGAAGGAAAAAGGGCCATCTGGTACTCTCTCTCTCTCTCTCTCTCTCTCTCTCTCTCTCTCTCTCTCTCTCTCTCTCAGAGCTTAGCAAAACAAGCATCAATTATTTATGCGAAGCTACACTGGGACAATTCTTGAAGGAAAAAGGTCCATCTGGTACTCTCTCTCTCTCTCTCTCTCTCTCTCTCTCTCTCTCTCTCTCTCT